TGTCACTAGTTAAAATTGCTTATTTCTCTGGATTTAAACATTCTTCGAAACATTTGGGATAATGTTAAGTACACAAGTCAGCAAAATATATAAAACTGTTCTAGTGGTTTTTGGATATTTTAATTAAAAAAAAACGTACATATTGTGCCTTTAAATTGCAGAATGTCAATTCACTCATAAACTTACTGTCTCTCCAGAAGCTGCTTCACTGTAAGGTAGGCCCACAATCTCTGCATGAAATCTTCATTCTCAGGTGGGACATCACTGGGGTCTTTTGTCAATATAGTGTCCTGATACATCACATTGTTGCCTTTCTGTTTAGAAATAATAATACTAGTGAATACTTTTTATTAGGAATGCTGTCAGTGCCACTTTCACCCATAACCTACTATAAAAACAAAGCTATTATTCCCAACTCCTATACACAATCGACCAGTGATACTAATAATATGCCACTAAAGAGAAGATTAGTGAAGATCTTACTGATACTGCGATGACTTCAGTGGTGAAACTCTCCACACTGTTGTCTGTGATTTGTCCTGACACCACAATCTCAGAGCCATTGAAGTACAAGCTAAAGCTGGTCTTGGTAAGGTTTGTCCCTCCTGGGTATTTAAGTTGAATATCAGTGAGGAGAGGGATGGCAACTTCTTCATAGAAGCCCTAAAAATCAAACAAACTTTAAATGCGCTCAAAGACAGAACCGTTCTATGGAAGCATATGGGCAGCAAAATTCATTTTGAAATGTAATATGCAAAATGACAATGCAATATGTAAAATGGCAATGTATTTTTGTGTTTAAATTTACATTTTCCCATACATATGTGCAACATTTAGTGCAAAATTAAAATGAAAATTCAATTATATAATTTACATTTGCCATTTCTACACTAGTTTTAATATGTCAATTAAAAACATATTTTAACACTTTATAAGTTGCAAAAATTAAAATGAAATTGTATTACCCAAATTGATTAGATATGTTTAACATGTCCAAGCAAAAACTGTAGCAAAATTATCATTTAAATGCCATTTTTCCTAAATGCATTTAAACTTACGGGTAGGACAATTGAGATTGCATTTTCATCGTGATACCGCATGATAATTAGGGATGGGCGATACCTCTTATTTTATTTTCGATCCGATAACAATATTTTCAAGCCCAGTATCGTCGATATCTATACTGATACCGATACCTCTAAACTAAACTGATCTTTTAAATTATTAAAAGAATATAATCAGTAATTATACTCACTTAATATTAGATTTTAAAGCCATGTTTTTTAACATTTCATAGGCCTTTTTTTGTTTACATTGTCATAAATAATATATACTATAATTGTATTTTAGCCCTTTACTGGGGCAGTAACCTCAAAGGTGCAACTATACCCCTAAAAGGGAGCATATTAGTACCATACAAGTATGCATGCTTTAAGGGTAGATAAGTTACAAAGGTGCACCTTTGAGGGTGCCTCATGAAAAATAAACATGGTGTTACATAAGTATTAAAATGTATTATTATTATTACCATGGTAAATTTGTGGTTACTGCAGTTGTACTACAAATACTGTGGTAAACTGTGGTTACTGTAATAAAACCATGGTTAATTTTTGTAAAAGGCTGCCAGGCTGTAGTACCCCTGAAGGTGAAACTTTAGCATATTTTTTTTCTGACAGATTTATTAACAGCAATTACAGAACATAACGCAATCCATTTGAACTTTTTTTTAAGTCTCATGCTCACCAAGGCTGCACTTATTTGAACAAAAAAAAAAAAAAAAACAGTAAAAGCAGCAATATTGTGAAATATAACAATTAAAA